GGCGGGCGGCCGTTTTTTTCGGCGTTTTGCGGTTGCCGGCGGGCGGCCGTTTTAGCGGCGGTTTGCAGCGGGCGGCCGTTTTTTGCGGCGTTTTTTTGTGGTTTGCGGCGGGCAGCCGTTTTTTTCGGCGTTTGCGGTTGACGGCGGCCGGGCGTTATTTGCGTTGTTGCGGTTTGCGGCGGGCGGGCGTTTTTTTGCGGCGTTTTTTGCGTTTTTTCTGCGGTTTTCGGCGGGCGGGCGATTGTTTTTTTTTATGCGAAGTTCGCGTTTGCGTTTTGGGCGTGCGATTTGCGGTGTTTGCGTTTGGCGGCGGGCGGGCGGTTTTTCACAATTAAAGTCCCAACCTTCGGATCCGCAGAGCTGTTCGACAAGCGCTGCCCGGGCCTATCCGAAGGTTGGGACTTTTCAATTAGACAATCACTATTCTTTAGAATTGTGATTTTCTATTGAAAATCCCAACCTGAGCTACCTCTCTAGGGGGGTGTTTAGCGTTTCTGCCGCGATTTGGGTCATTTTGAATCCCTCAAAAACGGCACGGTAGAATTTCTTGCCATTTTCAGCGTTTGGTCCCGTATCGGGGAGCTACCGGCTGGCATCGGTCGCTTGAAATATAATTAACCCGTTTTGGGGTAATCGGCACGTGCATTTTCCCATAGGGTTAACATGGGGGAAAATTGGAAATTCGATTTGCGAAAAATTTCGTCAATTATATTTGTTGATATTTTTAGGGTCGGATCTCGGGCAGGCACCCCAACTGACGGTGGTAATTATTTAAAATATAATTGACAAAATTTCGGGTAATCGTCACAAACAGTTACCCCATGTTGAGCCTATGGCGAATTCGAAAAATTATTTTCAAATCGATTTTGCAAAAAATTTCCACGTTAGATTTTGAAAATGTTCCAATATGTTGTGCCCCGGGTGGTCGGCTACCACATGGTATGGGACAGATATGGGGCGATTGAAAAGCACGTGCCACGTGCAAACGTGTTTGATGGGGTAACCTCCGGGAAAATCCGACATTGGCCTATTTGGGGTTCTATGGCGCGGAAACGACTTCAGCTAGCGACACCAAATCAGTGCAGCCCGTGAGCAGATGAGTCCAGCTTGTCGCACTAGTGGTCACGTGGCGCACGTGCTATTGCACGTGCCGTGGCACGGGGTCAATTTTGGTGCTTAAATATACTAGCATTTTGAAATGCAAGGAATGGGGGAAATAGTCGTCAGGCCGTCAGTTTTTATGATAGGGTCGATCTGAAAACGGGTATAGGCACAGGATGAAGGGGGCTAAAAAACTGCTATCTCGGATTTTTTGTAAAATGAAAAATTGAAAATTCTGGGGGAATTATATGTTCGAAAGGTGAAATTTCCCTAAATTTTCCCGTTTTTCGAGTTTAGCCGTCCACTGTTCAGAGACGGTGACACCGGCCGGGGTCATCTTTTACATGCTGATGGCCACGTCGATGGGTCATCACGTGGCGTGAACGGTGAAGCTATCAGAGGTCCGGCATTTGCCACGTGGCCACGTGTTTGAGTCACGTACCTCCCAGATTATCGTGTGTTTGCCGATTTGTGGCCTTATAGCACGTAAACTGCACCAGTTAAGAAGCCTGAAATGGTGCATTCAGTGAGGGAACAAGTCCTGCTTACACCACCGGTGGTCACGTGGCACACGTGCAAATCCGGGCACCTCCGTTGCGGAGATATTTTATAGTGAATTATTCAAATGAACATAACTTTGTCAGTTTATGTCCGATTGGACTAGAATTTAGTGGGTGGATGAATTGTTAAGCGACATGAACGAATGCGCCATGTTTGTTGCAGTGCGCCACGTTTGTCTCAAAGCGCCATTTTTGCCGCAAAGCGCAGAATGTGCGTAACTTTGTCGATCATTGGACGATTAGGATGCGCTGTAATTAAGGGATGGCTGCTTATACGGCAGATATTAATGCACCACATTTGCCGCAGGACGCCATATTTGTCTTAATGCGTCAGTGTTTGCGTTTTGCCTACGGCGGGCGTTTTTTGCGGCGGCGTTTGCGTTTTTTTCGGTGTTTGCGTTTGACGGCGGGCGGCCGTTTTTGCGTTTTTGGCGGTGTTTGCGTTTGGCGGCGGGCGGCCGTTTTTTGCGGCGTTTTGCGGTTGGCGGTGGGCGTGCGTGCGTTGCGGGCGTTTTTTTTTGCAGCGGTGTTTGCGTTTTTTGCGGTTTTTATGCTTGGCGGTGGGCGGGCGGGCGATGCGGGCGTTTTTGCTGTTTGCGTTTGGCGGTGGGCGGCCGTTTTAGCGGCGGTTTGCGGCGGGCGGCCGTTTTTTGCGGCGCTTTGCGGTTTGCGGCGGGCGGCCGTTTTTTGCCGCGTTTTGTGGTTTGCGGCGGGCGGCCGTTTTTTACGGCGTTTTGCGGTTGCCGGCGGCCGGCCGTTATTTGGGGTTAGCGGCGGGCGGCGGGTGGTCGTTTTTTGCGGCGTTTAGCGGTTTGCGGCGGGCGGCCGTTTTTGCGGCGTTTTGCGCTTCGCGGCGTGCGGCCGTTTTTTGCGGCGTTTCGCGGTTGGCGGCGGGCGATGCGGGCGTTTTTTTTGCGGCGGCGGTGTTTGCGGTGTTTGCGTTTTGCGGCGGACGCGCGTTTTTTTTTGCGGCATTTTGTGCGTTTTTTTTCTGCGGTTTTCGGCGGGCGGGCGATTGTTTTTTTGCGAAGTTTGCGTTGGCGTTTTAGGCGTGCGTTTTGCGCGTTTTGCGGTGTTTGCGTTTGGCGGCGCGGGCGGTTTTTCACAATTAAAGTCCCAACCTTCGGATCCGCAGTGCTGTTCGACAAGCGCTGCCCGGGCCTATAGAAATGCATCTATGCCTTGAAGACTACTGAGTGCAATTTGCAACCCTCTGTTGAGAACGGAGGAACTTGAACGAAGACCCATTGGTTTATCGTTCATATGATATTTGTCGTCATGATTTGCAAAATCCGTAGAATGATTTGAAGATTCATTCAAAGAAATTTGGTGGAATGTACTAGGGAAATCCAAGGTAGAGAAAACTTCACAGTCAGAAAGTTGATCTTTGACCTGTGATGTAAATGAACGAGAAAACTTGTCATCCTTGATTTTGGAGTTGAGAAGTCGCAAATCTGAAACGAGGCGATATTGACCATTTGATTTCTTGATAAGAATGATTGGAGAGTTATATGGTGAAACTAATGGTTTGATAACTCTGGCTGTTACCAAGCGTTTAATATTTTCCTTAGTTATCTCCCGATGAGCAAATGGGAGACTTGTTCGTTGATCAGCCGGAGTGTGGTCTGTGAATCCATTGTGATTTTTGTAAACATCTGTCTGTTGTATGTCAGAAATATCATTTCCAAAGACATGTCGATGTTTGTCTAAGAGTTCACGGAGTTTAAAACGAAAGTGTACTGGGATGTGTTTCAAATCAATGTCACTGACAGACCTGTGCCCTGACGTCCTCGGGATAGAAGTCGTCGGTCTGTTTACGTCTGTCATGCGTCCGCTGTCTGACGCAGCCAAATCCGGCCCAGCGACCGTTTTTTGTTGTGGCGAGACGCTGGCGGAATTGGGAACAGACGGCGCTGTTTGACAGTTGGCACTGACTGACCCATGGTACTGAGCAAGGTCAGCGTTCTGTCTGGTGGGATGGGGTCGGTCTGTGACCTGACTGAAGGGGTACTTTTTGGTCGGATGGGCTTGTGCGATTCTCTGATTTTTTCTCAAAATGACTGGGCTACTTGAAGCATTAATCACGCGTACAAGCGTGCCTGAATTTTCCAAGAAATTTATAGAACGGGCAACTTGAATGTCTCGAATACTTTGATCACAATGCGTTTGAATTAGGTATGGAAAATCATTTGGTTGTAGAAAATGTGGTAATTTTACGCGTACAAATTTTTCGCTGTAACCAGAAATTTCTACTGTTTGTTTCACGAATAATGGATATGACTTTTCGTCATCAATAGTTAATGCATGTTTTTCTGCAGTTGTGAACATGTCTACCGTTTTATCAGGATAAACGATTTGATCGACACATTTTTCGTTGTCCTTTGTTGATAAAAGAAAACGTACTCTTTTACGTCTTTTGGGACTCAGACGTTTTGAGCGTCTTTCGACTACATTGGAAGAAAGAATTGGTTTTAGAAAGTTCACCGTACGACTCGATGGATTGTAAATCAATTTGTGAGCAATGATAAAATCGATTCCGAGAATGATATCGCATTTGAATGGCAAACTTTTTGCTGTAATGAAAAATTTGTGTTGAACTGTTTGACCAAGAATGCTAATGTTCAGATTGACTTCACCTACAACGTCAATAGGGTTTCCAGTAACATCAAGAATAGAGACACTGGGAGGTTGGTAAGGTATTTTTAAGCCAGATTTTTGCACACATTTTTCTGAAACTAAAGAGACACTACTTCCACTATCATAAAGAGCTGAACAAGTTTGACCCGAAATTTTGACGTCACGTAAAACCGGGGGATGTGCTGAACGGTCCCTGTCATCTGAAGCGACGCTCACGCACTCATCCCCTAGTGCAGTGAGCGGAACCCGTTTGGGCTCAGAGAACGACAGTTTCGACGCGGTGAAAAGTTTCGGTGAGAGCTAGAAAATTCATGGTGATAAGAATTTGAACAGCAATGACTTCTTTCTTGACAGCAATGACGCGAAGAGTGGAGTGATTTTGAGCGAACAGGTCGATAACGGCATTTTTGCTGACGAGATTGACGATCACGTCCTCGGCTCTGAGATTTTGATAGATTTTGATCTTGTTGAGCAATAAGCTCTTCTGCTACAGCTAATTCTAAATGAGCAATTCGCCTTAAAATATCTTTCATTTGGGTGCTGTACTCAATACTAAAATTTCTGGTAGCATCTTCCATGGTAAGCCTAGCAAATAATAAAAAATCACATGTAGATAAACGAATGGAACTAAATATCAAATCTCAAATATCAAATTTCAAACATTACAAATAGCAAATAAAATTAATTTAAAAGAGAACTCACCTGAAGCCAAAAGTCCTCCACCGACAACCAACCACCACCGCTGGCACCAATTGTGGGCCGGCCATTTCGGCCGCCCTCGTCGGAGCCGGGGTCCGCGGATGGTGTTGGCGTCACAGTCGGTAGAGGAGGAGTGAGAGCGTGTATTTAGAGAACATAGGTTTTATGGTGGGTGTCGGGACGCAAGCACGTGACCGGACGGGCAGCCGGCCAGCCAGCCGGCGGTCCCGTGTCGCTATGCGCCCCAGACACCCAGACAAATACAAAAAATAGGGGTCCGACATTTGGGGCCTCCATCGGGAGTGGGAGGCCATGATTTCCTTCTCCACACTATTAACATTTTGACGGGAAACGGCGGGGTCTTTCGATTTGGCTGAAAATCGGTATACACTATACGAGTAGGTGCCTCCACGATGCGCAACGATTTAACCCTCGCCGGACCTATTGGTTTTCTACATACGCGCCGGCCGGGGGGGTGGGTGGGTACGACCCCCCTCGCCATTTCGCCCCGGCCCTGGTGGAGTTAGCGCGTCGCGAAAAAACGAGCGTGTGCGCCGCTACGAGACGCAGAGATTGGTACCCGATTTTAAGGTCCTAGGTCAACCGGTGACCTATGAGGTCAGGTCAAGTGCCCCAAGGTAGGTATAGTTCAGTTTTTGGTGAATAACTTCGCAAAAACGGCCGCAGAGCCGCGATTTGGGCATCATCGTGTTCCCCTCGCTCAGGCGCGTCGAATGATATACTTTTTGTTTGGGTCAGGTCAACTTAGGGTGTTGACCTCAGATCACGGTCAGGTCAGCGCCCCAGGTCACGAAGTTGGTCGAAAGAGGTCATGTCGCATATCATTCGATTCGGCAGGTCTTCCTGAGTCCATTCCTGGCTTTCCCGACTCGCTAGCTCAATTTGATCGGGAGTTATTGACGAAAAACTAATATGACCTTGATGACGTCATAAATGACGTCACGCAAGGTCAACATTGCAAAAGTGACGCATCAATCGTGATTTGATGCAAGAAGTGCATCAAATCACGATTCTGTATGCTTGAGATAGTTGGAGATCGTTCCCGGCGCCAGAATAGCAGCTTTCATTTTTCCCCATTGACTTATAATGGTGGTGAGGTCAGCAAATTTTTGACCCGAACACAAATGCATAGGGTAAGATGCAGGGTGACAAAAACAGCAAGGCAGTTAGTGATTTATGTGAGACTGAGATGTCATGTGTCAACACTAGATCGGCTGAATGACTAAATCGACACATCCAAAGTGTTTTCACCGCTCTAGCATATCTCTAATATGTACAGCGTATTGTCGAAAAGCTGCCGGTTATCTTTCATGACCCCAGAAAAGATGGCCCCAGGGGTCTTTTAGGGTGGGCTGGGGTCACGGTCGCAAAATTCCGATTAAGTATTCAATTGATTTATCTGTAGCACATTTTTTTCATACTTAAAGTATGACTTCCATTGAAAAGAAGCTTCAACTTTCTCTGATTGACCTTCAATGGTTGCAAAACGGCCCTAAAGCCAGTTTTGTCCGCTTTACCGAAAAAAAATCGCCGACCGGTTTTTTTTACGGAGCGAGCGAAGCGAGCGTAGTCTTTTCTTAGATTAACGGAAATTTCTGAGTATGAGCGGCCGGCCGTGGTCACGCTTTTGCGAGGCTTATATCTCAGCAACCACTCGACCGATTTACACGGGGTAATTTTTGTAGGGTAGCTTCATTCCTTCTACCAAGTATTGGACTATTCCCGATGCATGTGGGTGACCCCTTATGCACGTGCCACGTGCAAAACGAAGAGGTGTCCGTTTTGTAATTGCTGCAATATCTCGGTAACTACTTGACCGATGGCGCTGAAAGTTGGCATGTAGGTAGGCACCCACTAGGCACTGCATATCCATGTGCCAGAGTTGGGGCGCTGCTGCACGTGCGCACGTGCAGGGGTCGTTTCCATATCTCGAGAACGGCTGGACCGATGGCGCTCAAATTTGGTACATGGTTAGGGACCGGTTAGTAGGGTGCCGTGCAAAAGTCAGTTGGGACCCATTTTGCACGTGCGCACGTGCAGGATGCCGTTTCCAGATCTCGAGAACGGCTGGGCCGATTGTGCTCAAATTTGGCACATCGCTAGAGACCGGTTAGTAGGGTGCCGTGCACAAGTCAGCTGGAGGTACCCCCTCGAAATTTCGCACGTGCAAGGCTCACCCTCTCGCTCGCTCCGTTAGTCGCCCCAAAAGGCGTTATACTGGTTTTAAAGAGTTTAGACTCCCCGAATACCGCCAGAAGCGCAAAAAGTAATTGCTGCAGTGAAATGTGATATCAGCGTGCCTGACAGTCAGAATGTTTTCGAAGTTCACATTACCGTTTTTTTCACGTGGAGGAGTATTACCTATGTATGTACTATTTGCGGGATATTTCAGAATTGAAGAAATAGAATTACGGGTGGCTAGCATTTTTCTGGATTGATCGAAAACTGGTCTCTGGCCTTTGTTCACCGGATTCGAAAAACCGAGACAAACGACTAAGACTTGCTCATCAACTTTGACCCTGTCATCCTTATCAATCGCTGAACGTTTCAAAGCAAAGCGCTTAGCCGATGCAGCCGAGGTGATCCGCTCGCCAGGGCGGCGCGGCTGATTTGCATGTTTTATTTTTTAGGTTAGGTCTTTGGCGCGACCTGATGGCCTGACCTCAAATGACCTGGGTGGGTCTGAAATTTTCAACAACTTGTGAGGAAAAGACGTTCTTACTAATAATAGCTGCTCAAGCGCAGGTCAAATATTAACCCTCGCCGGACCTATTGGTTTTCTACATATGCGCCGGCCGAGGGGGAGGGGGGAACGACCCCCCTCGCCGTTTCGCCCCTGGTAGAGCTAGCGAGTCGCGGAAAAAAACGAGCGTGTGCGCCGTTACGAGACGCAGAGATTGGTACCCGATTTTAAGGTCCTAGGTCAACCGGTGACCTCTGAGGTCAGGTCAAGTGCCCCAGGGTACGGTTCAGTTTTTGGTGAATAACTTCACAAAAAACGGCCGCAGAGCCGCGATTTTGGCAGCATCGTGTTCGCCTCGCTCAGACGCGTCGAATGATATACTTTTTGTCCGGGTCAGGTCAGCTTAGGGTGTTGACCTCAGGTCAAGGTCAGGTCAGCACCCCCAGGTCACGAAGTTGGTCGAAAGAGGTCATGTCGCATATTATTCGATTCGGCAGGTCTTCCTAAGTCCATTGGTGGCTTTTCCGACTCGCTAGCTTAATTTGATCAAGAGTTATTGACGAAAAACTAATATGACCTTGATGACGTCATAAATGACGTTACGCAAGGTCAACATTGCAAAAGTGACGCATCTAACCTTGCAAGGAGTGCATCAAATCACGATTCTGTATGCTTGAGATAGTTGGAGATCGTTCCCTGCGCCAGAATAGCAGTTTTCATTTTTCCCCATTGACTTATAATGGTGAGGTCACGAAAATGACCTGACCTCATATGACCTTTAGAAAAAATCCGAGATATACAAGCTGTGAGACTCATAATGGATACTAGATCCTGCAAGTTTCATTTCCCTGTGACATCACCTCTGGCAGTGAGGGCGTTGCGAAGTTGCGACATCTGAAGACCGTGCAGAGGTTCACTTATGACGTCATAGGTCAGTGACCTGACCTGACCCGAAAATGCGGTTGGTGTCAAAAGATCCGGCTTGAATCAAAAGTGAGGTATGCCAGGTTTCAGCTCTCTATCGCCAGCGTGTTCGGAGCTATCGCGAAAAAAACCCTATGGGGGTGCGGCACCCGACCCCCCCCCCCTCGGCCGGAGAGGGTTAAGTACCCATTGAAAGGGGTCTCTTTGCTCGTTCGGTTAAGTCTGTCAAAATTGTGCTTTATAGCTACTTATTCCTAATCTGAACATCAAAAATACCTACCTACCTATCTACAGGTGTACGAGTTATGAGTACAGGCTGGATGTTCCCGTACACTCTATAAAAAACAATGCTGCGTCAATGGAAGTCAGATAGGTAACTACTAAAGGCCGCCCAACACTGGAACTCGCATGCGGGTTGCGAATTTTTGGGTTTTCGGGTTTATTCAAGTTCAAATCATACAATCTAAGCTAAGTGACCCACACTACCATCTAACAGGCGAGTCTGCATGTTTTTAGCTTGCGAGCGACCTTGCATCGCATTCCAATAGTTGATTTTGAGTCAACTTTCGATTTTCCTCGCTGCGAGGTCTGCGAGTTCTGCGAGGTTTGCGGGTTTTTCGTTGGAGCCGAATTTTGGTTCGTTGCGCTGGTATTGCGACTATGTGTAATTTTCTGAAGGTGTACCGGCCTCACTACATTCATAAAGTTACCATAAAGGAACGGTCTAATTACTATGAATTAGTATTATGCCCGCAAACTCAAAACCTGCAAACTCGCAACCCGCATGCGAGGTCCAGGGTGGGGCGGCCTTAAAGGAAAAGGGCCACCTTCGTGAAATATGAAGATATCGTTGTTTTTCATTTTGACATTATTATTTTTCATTTTCTTTTTAAAACTGGTGCCAGAAGTGCACAATTCGCGAAAAAGTATTTAAAACTATTTAACATATTGGTATATGATTGGTACTATGTTGATACTCTCTACGGCACCTACTGTATGATGGCATAGCGATGACGTCACACTCAAGCCAATCAGCGTTCAGAAGACAGACTCGTCGGATTGTGTCAGATAAGCTGATTGGTTAAAGCTGAGCTGGTTGGAGCTGATTGGTAAAAAACCAAAGCCTCGCCGCGGGTGGCTGTATTGTCGGATAAGAACGCATTCCTGGGATAAGGACGCATTCCTGGCGTATTTTCTTTTAAAATTGCCGATAACTACGAATGGAGGCCGAAATCGGCCGTAAGTAGGTATACAGGTAGGTTTTCGGACACGGGCTACAAGATGGCTATCTCAGTTTCAATCCCCATGTTAAAGGTGGCCCTTTTCCTTTAAGAAGTTACAACAAAAGTACCAGATGGGTATCAGGCAGATTCTGCAGAAAATCACCGACAGACTTTAGGGAAAGATGCCAGCTGAAATCACTGGCGGTTGTGATCAAGGTCGCAGCGGCTGCAGCACGACCTCCTGACGGCTCGCGCAGAGGCTCGGGGACCTCTACACGGAGTCTGCCGCTCCCGCACCGATCCGATCTGTCGGGGATGTCCAGCTAAGCTGCGGTGCTGCGGTCCGGCCTGAACCAGTGTAGGGCAGATAGACTCACTAGCCACTGCCCATGATGCCTTGGTGCGATTGAAGGTCGCTAAAGCTTAAAAAAAAATTCAGGAGCTGGGCCCTATTGGTCAGCCCGCGATTAGA